ATGTCAGTCACGTCAGCGCAGCGCCAATGCCACGTTGCGACAGAAAAGTGAAAAGGACGTTTCCCCCTCCACTGGCCTGTCGACCAAGACGACGAAGACGTTTCTTAATCCTACCTACGTAATCCTACGTAAACTGCCCAACATGCGGACTTTGCATTGCAATATCTCCAGAAAAGTAAAAACACTTTTGTTATGCAAATCGTACCCAAACTATCGATTAAGCGCAGTTCGTCGGATCAGCCGTTGTTGAGATCCGAAATTCTGAGGGCCCGTCAACTCGCGTACTCGCGTAAACTAACACGGTCGGTGTCGCGCGCGTGGTTAGGTTTGTCGCTTATACTTAGTCGCTTATACTTGGCGCGAGATACTACCGTGTCTCGTGATTCATAAGTTATCATAAAAATTCGATCATTTTCAGGACATGAAATGTTGCTTCTAATGATCTATCGGTTCTGATTGATATTTAAAGTTATTTAAAGTTTTCTTATAACTCTCTCATTTTTTACTTTTATTTCCGACATCACTATGAGATATTGCTTGCAATCAAGTCAAATAAATATGTTCATTAAATTACACAGCACCACAAAAAAAGGTTGTCTAGGCCTAAGACCAGAAAAGTGTATTCTAATATATTTTGACCCGCTGAATCTAAATTCGCGGTCAGAATTGAACAATTACTAGCTTTACCGTCCCTAACCACAAAAAAATTCATAATTTCACGAAACGGGCACTTTTTCTAAACGTACCCACGCGTCGGTCTGCGGAACTAAAATAATACGAACAAGTTTTGTTTTAGTATTTTGATCTGCTTAATACGAATCTGTGGTCGGAAATGCTCCATCAGGTCGCAAATCCTCCCTAAACTAAAAAAAATCCATTAAAATTCCCCCAAAAAACTGCTTCTTGAGCTATTTTCTTGATTTACGAAATTCTATTATAAAATTCTTGATCAATCAAGGGTCTGCTAAAAAACGATTGAATTTTTCATTTTAAGTAGGGTATAAGTTTTTTACCTCGCAAAACAATCTATTAGAACTGCAAAAACAATTCAATTACTACCTCTGCTTGTGATACCGAACTCTTACTCTCAAAGACTCTGTGCAATGGTTCTTACGTTTCTGTCCCCTCGGTGATACTTCTCTTTTTTGCAACAATTTGTATTATAACACGAATTATATATTTTTTGGAGAATGCAATCACTTTCTTGATTTACAATTTCTAAGCCAAAACATCCTTTGTAACGTTTCTTAATTTTTTAGAGGTATTTCACCTGTACATACAGTCGGGAGCACTGAGGTTGCGACACTTTTTTTTGATAAGTTTACAAACGCGCAAAAAAATTCAGGATGCGAATCCCTGTCCGCGCTCATGCGCGGTGAGTGATCATGGTGCTGTCAAATTTGTGTATACAATGTGTAACATAAATTTATATGCCGCGGTAAATCCATAATAAATAACATGATTATTCAGTTGATTCGATGAAGATATGTCCTTAAAATATCTTATATGTATATGGCCACGCAGGATATCTTTAAGAGATCCAAGAAATATCCTCAGGCTGTTTGGATTTGTATTATATCCTAAATATATCCCACATATGTCCGAGGATATTTCGGATATATTGAGGATTATCCTGAGGATATCTTGTGCTGTCTGGGGAGGTAGTAACTGAATTGTTTTTGCAGCTCTAATAGACTGTTTTGCGAGGTAAAAAAACTCATACCCTACTTAAAATTAAAAATTCACTTGTTTTTTAGCAGACTCTTGATTGATCAAGAATTTTATAGTAGAACTTTATAAATCAAGAAAAAAGCTCAAGAAGCAGTTTTTTGGGGAACTTAATGCATTTTTAGTTTAGGGAGGATTTAAGACCTGATGGAACATTTCCAACCACGAATTCGTAATCATCGGGTCAAAATACTGAAAAAAACATGTTCATATTATTTTAGTTCCGCAGACAAAGGGGTGGGTGCATACACTTCTTCGCTACGTCTAGCAAAAGTACCCGTTTCGTGAAATTACGAGTTTTTGAGGTTAGGGACGTTAAAGCTAGTAGTTGTTCAATTCTGACCTCGGATACAGATTCAACGGGTCAAAATACATAAGAATGCACTTGTCTGGTCTTAGACCCAGACTACTTTTTTGTGGGGTTGTGTTATTAGTATGCGACGGTTTACTGTGTCTATCTTTCAAGAATCCGAATCATTCCCACACAGCACGGGGAACTCCCAGAGAGCTCCTTAGGAGTTTTATTTAAGCTCCCTGCGAGCTTAACTTCATTTAAGCTCGCAGGGAGTTGAGAAGTCATGTTTTAAAATGTACGACATACGACATACGACAGGTAAGTACAACATGCCACCTTGGACACTTGGGGAATATTGTAGCAAAATGCTGAAAAAAAGGTACACCTAATATGACATATAGTACAGAGTGCTACCGCGATGAAATACAAGACACCATATATATGGATAATCAATCACATTTTATGTAATATTAATGTTTTTCTCATTCGTATATTACATAATTCGATATGTAAAAATACTGAATAATGTTACTAAATTTCAACTTAAGTAATTTTTAGTCTATAAAAATCTTACAGGTATAGCGAAATAAACTCCCTGGAAGCTTATTTTATCGAATTTTGTAAGCTTCCCGGGAGCTCAGCGAAATGAACTCCCTGGGAGCTTAATCGGAGCTTTGTGCTGTGTGGGTTGTTAGTTATAAAAATCAGAAATCTTATTGATATGATTCGAAATTATCAAGATTTACACATAAAGTATGTAATTAACGAATAGTAATTCTGTGCATACACCTCTTCGGAGGATAAAGATTATTACTTACTCGGAACAAGATCGCCGAAACCTATGGTGGTCATAGTCACGAAACAGAAATAAAATCCATCAAAAAAATTCCAATCGTCTTCCCACAACATAAACATACCAGCACCACAGGCGAGATATAGAAAGAGCAGTACGATAGCGGCGCAAGCACCTATAAAGGGGATTATTAGATTGAAATCAACTAAATCAATTAAACTTATGAAACTCACCAAGTGATCGACGACCAGCCACGTTCGTCGGAATACATGAAAGCTTCGCGCGAAACGGAAGTTTCGACTTCATCATCAGCGCAATGTATACTACTGCACTCGCGAATAGCTTTCCCCAGTCGGCAATCACTATCAGAGTGAGAGGTATACCAACGAAAGCAAAGAGGATGCAGAAGATTCTTCCCCAGTTGGTTGAGGGTACAACATTGCCATATCCTATCAAACACAAATCATCATAGCGTTAACTAAAAAGCTTGCATAGCAAAAGGATACTTTGTTCAAATTTGCCAATGGCAGAATTTTAATATATTATAAAATAATTTTTTTAAAAAGGAAAATCGATTTCATATAATCGACTTCTTGATAGTGAACTCTCAGCTATTAACATTGATTAACATGTCAGATGCGGATTAGGATTGTTAAGTCATTCTCATAGATTTTTCAACGCTGAATCCGAACCTTGAAATGAAATTTTTCTAAAAAAAAATTCAGATTATAAGTGCGTAAAAACGTATTTTTGGTCAATTTTGCTTATTCCCCCGTTGCTAGTGCGGCGGGGCATGGCATCGGCGAGTGTGATAAAAAAATTATAAAAAATAGGTAAGCGGACGAAAAATAAGATTACTAAGGGTGGCCCCCTGGAGGTTTCGTTGGGCTCTCGCGGACTCTCGATCCTCTCGCGGGCACGAATCGCGCACTGGGACGGCGGCTAAGCGGTGCCACGCGTCGGCGAATCTGTCACGTCACAATATACATATAGCCATATTATGAAAAAATAATAAATATTGAAATTTTACCCAATTGAAAAGGTATTAAAGTAACATTTATAAAATATTTGGAATAATATTAGTACAATATTTTTAAAACATTCAGAAATATCATTTTATTAATTAACATTTAAAAAATATTTATAAAATATTATATAAGAACGTTAGTAAAACTCATATAAAACCAATATTTCAAAATGTTATTCTAATGTTCCTTGCATGGAGAATGTATAAGGAGACCGAACTAGGTCTGGATCACGTCACCGAACATGGGCCGACATTATTGCCAGCCAGTGAATCAAAATTTTGCCACTTTCAGCGCTGGTGTTGCCTTACGCGATTAAGAATTCGCCCATGAGTTTACCAATCTTGATCTCACTGGCTCGTAGATACCTTTGCTATCTGGGGGTCGATTTCTGAAACTTAGGAAAAATACAAAAGTGAGTGAATACTGAAATATTTCTAATTTCAACCTGTGAATTCGCTCACTTTTGTAATTTTCACAAGTTCCAGAGAAACACAACCCATCTCCTCATCTTATTTACGGATCGGACGTATCGAGCCTGCTTGAAACTTGTGAAATGCGCAGTTTCAAGGAATTCATTTTTATTCTAGTTTATTTTATTGTATATCCAAAATCTATATTTTTCCCGTACCTCTCGTACTCTATCATTAATATAACCACGAAAGCTTCATGCATATGACAACCATGTGTCACGTATGAATGCGAATGGAGTTAGTTGATGACAGCGCTCCCAGTAATCTCTTTTCAGAACGACTGGCTGTCACAAATGTCGGCCCACTCTCATTACGGTCATTTCGGTCTCCTTATACATTCTCCATGGTTCCTTGCTTACTGGGAGGTTAAAAGTGAAAGAGTAGAGAGAAAGGAAAGAGGGGATCAGAGGAAGAAAGGAGAGCGGACGAGAAGCGGGAAGAAGGAAGTGGAAGAAAGAAGGAAGGAGACGGAGGAAGCAGCGGAAGAAAGGAAATGGTATGGTGCGGAGGAGAGAAGGAGAGAAGGAAGAGAGAGGAGGAGAGAGAAAGAGAGATGAGAGGAAGGAAGGAAGAGAGAGAAGAGACGGGAAGGTAAGACGACAAGAGAAAATGGAAGCGTGGAGAGAAGAGTTGTGAGAGGTATGGGGAGGAGATGAAATGGCAGTTGAGAAGAATAGAAAAAAAACTGAGGCATAAGGGAGTGGCAGAAGAGAAAGGAGGAGAAAGAGAGATGGAGAAGAGAAGGATGGAAGAAGGAGAAAGGTGGAGGATGGAAAGAGGGGGAGGAGAGGTGGAGGGGAAAAAGAGAGACTGGAGGGTAAAGTGGTAAAAGACGAGAGGAAGGAGAAGCAGAAGAGGCAAGGACTGAGGAGGGAGGCGGAAAGGAAAGAAAGTGAAAAAGAAGAGAGTGATGGAAGGGAGAGAAACATGGAGGAAGAGCAGCAAGAGAGGGGAAAAAGGTGATAAAAATGCTGTATTGTATGTTGACCAAACTGGCAATGTATTTATTTATCTACAACGTTTCAGCTCCGTTTCGAGCCCTTCTCAAGTAAACTGAAACCATATGATATAAACATATAATAATATAAAATAACAATTAAGGAGAAACTAGCACACTAAAGAACAATAAAAAGGGGAATACCTTAGGTAGAATCTTGTTACTTAGTAGCGGAAACATCACGTAAGATGTGGCCGCATTTCACAAGTCTATAAGTGGAATGGTGGCTGGTTCTATCCAAAAGTTTTGTACACATCCAAACATATACAGGGTTTTTCAATTGGGGCGGGTCGATGTTGGCAGCCTGTGGCGGCCATGTTGTTTTGGTGGCGTCTGTCTAATCTGTTGTTTATTATTCAGTCACTGATGCCAAATCACCAATGGCAAGTTACATTGAGCAGTACGTCCAAATGATAAAACTTTATTATCAAAATGAGTATTCGTTAGTGCAAACGTTGCGCGCGTTGCGCCCATTTTACGGCAGACGCGGTGGCCCTTCAAAGTCGACTCTCCAACATTTGGTGGCCAAATTCGAGACGACCGGTTCGGTAAACAATCAGCCAACACCCGTACGTCAAAGGAATGCCAGATCGGCCGAGAACATTGCCGCGGTTCGTGAAAGTGTGCAGGAGAACCCGAGGCAGTCAATTCCTCGCCGTGCACAAGAACTCGACCTTTCGCAGACTTCAACTTGGCGAATTTTGCGTCGGGACTTGGGCCTACACCCGTACAAGATACAACTGACCCAGGAGCTCAAAGTTAATGACCATAGACAACGCCGTTTGTTCGCTAACTGGGCTGCGGAGCGTTTGGAAGAGGACCCCAATTTTGGCCGAAAAATTATCTTTAGCGACGAGGTGCATTTTTGGATGAATGGCTATGTTAACAAGCACAATTGCCGTATATGGGACGACGCCAACCAACACGAGGTTCACCAGGTGGTAATGCATCCACAAAAAGTTACTGTTTGGTGCGGATTTTGGGCCGGCGGCGTCATGGGTCCGTACTTTTTTTAAAACGACGTTGGTGAGGCCCATCACCGTTAACGGCGAACGCTACAGAACAATGATAACCGATTTCTTTTGGCCCAAATTGAACGATATGGAGGTAGACGACATGTGGTTCCAGCAGGACGGCGCTACGTGTTACACAGCGGACGCCACAATGGACATTCTGCATGAACGATTTGAGGGTATGGTTATCTTTCGCAGAGATGGCGTGAATTGGCCACCAAGATCGTGCGATTTGACCCCACTAGACTTTTTCTTGTGGGATTTCCTGAAGTCGCAGGTCTATGCCAATAAGCCGCAATCGACCGATGCCCTTAAAGTCAACATAACCAATGCCATGGCTCAAATTCAGTCGGATCTATGCGGCAGTGTCATTGAAAATTGGACCACTGGATCTGTGCCACCGTGAGAAGCCGCGGCGGACATTTGAACGATGTCATATTCCATACATAATGGCATACATAGGCCTTTCAAATAAAAAAAGAATTTCGTTAATACCTCACACACAGCTTGTTTTATTTCATTTCAACATCGACCCGCCCTTATTGAAAAACCCTGTAGAACATAAAGATAGAATTATATCATACAAATTTGACAAATGTAAAAAGTTTTTTCACGTGTAAACAGCTGATCCAACGGCTGAAAAGGAAAGGTTTTTTGTATCGTATCGTGACTGGCGATGAAAAGTGAGTACACTATACCCAAATAGCACAAAAACATTCCATTAACATTCTAGGAATATACGCCAAGAACATTCGAAGATTCCAGGAATCTTCTAATAGTCGTTTTATACGTTCGAGGCATATTTATAGAATGTACCAACGGAGCACTTCAAAAGTTCTAGAAACATCTCTAGAATGTTCATCTGAATGTGCTACGAATGTACACGAATGTACTGCAAATATTCCAGTAATGTGCTGTAGATATTTCTATGAATGTTCCTGGAATATACAGCAAATATTCCAGTAATGTGCTGTAGATATTTCGCCCAAAGAAAAGTATTCTATTTTTTAGTGGTTCCCTCTTGATTTTAGAGGATTTTCCTATGAAATACGGTCTCAAGAAGATACTCTAAAATCTAGAGGAATATCCTATAACACTGAGGCATGAAATTTAAACTTCCAATCCTCTTAATGCTAGAGGAATCTTTTCTTCTTGTAATATATGATAATATTCTTATTTTTAGTATTTATATAACTTTTTAAAAGAATTATGTTCTACTTTTAATCTTATAAAGTATTATGTGGCGGTCGAAACGCGCGATCCGGCACAAATTGGCAACCGGCACTACGCGACACGCGCGCGGGCGCGTGAGCGCCAGCTTCTGAGTATTCACCGACCGCCGCTAGGCCGCGCATGGTGACGGCCAAAAACTCGGAAGCAAAATTCAGTCTCGCGGGCCTTCTTTTATACCCT